CCGCGGTGCAGGAGAGGGCGGCGGCCGCCCCAGGGCGGGACTGCAAGCGCTGGGAAGGGGCTTGGGCAGCGCTGGCTCGGAGCAGGTGCCTGGCTGCGCCAGGGCGGCGACTCGGCAGGGCGGCGTAGGGAGCACTACGGGCGAGGGGCTTAGTGGTGCGCCCGGGGCCCAGCCCCGGCGGAGGGAATCCTTGTTCTCCCTTGGGAGTCGGTTCGCGCAACCTCCCCACCCACTGCGGTGCACAGCGCCTGCTGCGCGGAGCCTGCCTGCCTGCGCCAGCTCCTCTGCACAGAACCAGGCTGCCCTGGGAGCGGGGTTGCCAGAGCGCTCACGGGACACTCCGAGCATCTCCTGCTCCCCGGGAAGCAGTACGGCCTGATCGCGTGTGGGTGGGCTATGCTGTTGGCATTCCTATAGCGCCCCACTACCTGCCCGGCGTTGTATTACTACTCGCTACTTAAACCCCGCGGCACAATCAGCATCGCAGATAAAGCGGGCCTTTAACGCTAAACTCAAACATAAGGCTCAATGAATAAGACTTTTCACTGTAATTTCCCTTTGTTGGCGTGCTTTGTCCAATAGGCATCTTCCTGCAAAGGGTGTGTCCCACCTCTTTTTCACCATAGCTGCTTACTGCCATAAAACAGGTAGGTGGTGGTGTGCACAGCAGTTATCTTTGTTAATTAGCACCACTTACATCGTATATAGGTGGTATACTGCTGGCTCAAGAAAGCCTGCTTATGGCTTTCAGAAAGCTAGACTCTTAAATATTACGATTCTAAGAAGATGCTATTTATAGGTCTCCTTTTATTATTTTTCACACTATCATTATCCACAGATATTTGGCACAATTGTCAATTTAATACAATTGCTAGCATTTTTTCCTCAAGGCCAGACAGTTATAGTTTCTAATCCCCTCTAAAGTCTTGTTATATTTAGAAGCTACTGTTAAATATAGTATCTGCTGGAGGCTCCCAGGTCTAGGCTTTTGCCTGCTCTGTTGTGACCTAGACAGACTGTGACTTTTATCTCCTGCTGTAAATTGGCTTTGAGCACAGCTTTTCTTTTTGAATATCTGCTTTCCAGAATTGTCATCCTCTGCTGATCATTGCTACAGAGCACTCTGGAGCAGTTGGTAAAATGGGTGAAAGCAAACAATTTTTCAGTTCAGCCACAGGTAGGGTCATCCATCTAGGAACAAAGAATGGAGACCAAGTTTAGAGCATGAAAGAATCTATCATGGGAAATAACTCTGAAAAAGATTTAGGACTGAGGAGTCAAGTCACATGAACCCCCAGCACATACACTGTGGTTATAATGTGATTGTCATAAATTGGATGGCCCTTTAAGAGTAGCTGAGCTCAGCCACAACCTACCTGATCAGCAGCAGCTGGTCCTGATCAGCTGGGTGATGTTTTTAACAGGTCTGAGAGAACTCAGTTTGAGAGAAATAATAAGGAGCAAATTGGGCTCTTGTGGAAGGACTCCAAGAAAATAGCCTGAGAGTCAGTACTCTGTGCCAGAGTCAGAGGGCATGTCTGCACTGCAATTAAATACCCACAGCTGGTCCATGTCATCTGATTTAGATTCACAAGCCACAGGCTATGGGGATTTTTAACTATAATGTAGATCTTCAGACTCAAGCTAGAGGCCAGGGTCTGGAACCCTCCTCCTTTAACGTACGTTAAATTTTTGGCAATTTTTAAATCAGGATTGAACTTTAGCATTTCTTTTAGAAACATCCAAAACAGGAAGGAAGTCCTGTGGTCTATGTTATACAGAAGGTCAGTCTAGATAATTACTGTGATGCCTTCTGGCCTTAAGTCTATGAAAATAAAGGGCCTGATTAGCATAACTCGTCTTATATACTTCCCATTGTTTCAAGATGTTACATAAATGCCAGATATTAGTTTGATAGGAAATGTAAATAAATGTGAAGTATACAGAGGATTCAACGTGAGCTAGTCCCAATGTCCTTTATGAGAATTTTTGTACCAGGTGTTGGCTCATGTCATCAAAGAGAGAGGGTGCTGCTGTGATCCAGGGGGGAGAACCTGTAGGGTAATAATCATGTTCTATATCAGAACTTGGGCTCATAACTAGTACTTCCATTGCAGCACTTGCATTATAGTGCAATACAGCTATTGTTCTGACTCAAATAAGATGTTGAGTTTCAATGCTGCACATGGCTACCATATTAAAATCAGGTCTTTTTTGCTCATCTTTGATATCTGTCTTAGTAAAGGTTACACATCTCATGCTGCTTCATATAAAACTAGTAGCCTGGCCAGCAGTCTGTTGCTCAGTAAAATAAAGTAAAACAGACTTAAGTGTTCACTTCCTGCACTCAGTCACAAAAATGCATAGGACTAATACTGCTTTGTCAAGATCAGTGGTTGATATATTGTTGCTGCCTCCACAGGCACTGTGCTACCAGATTTTAACTAATTTTTCAATACTTAGTGAAGCATATGACAGAGAACACGTTGTATATGAAGGTTGCTATATAACAGAGGTTCTCAATCTTTCGAGACTACTAACACCTCACTTAAAAACTACTTGCTTACAAAATCAGACCTAAAAATTCAGAAGTGTCTCAGCACACTATTATTGAAAAATTGTTTCCTTTCTCATTTTACCATATAATTATAAAATAAATCAATTGGAATATAAATATTGTACTTACATTTCAGTGTATAGTATATAGAGCAGTATAAAAAAGTCATTTTACGAAATTTTAGTTTGTACTGACTTCACTAATGCTTTTTATGTAGCCTGTTGTAAAACTAGGCAAATATCTAAATGAGTTGATGTACCCTGCTTGAGAACCACTGCTGTATAAGATCTATGCAAGAAAATGTTAGGCCCTGCCTTGCTTCCATTGAAGCCAATGGGAATTTTGCCATTTAGTTCAATGGCAGCAGGGCTGGGGGGACTATAAAGAGCAACTTTTGAAATAAAATAATTAAAAAGTCTTTTACTATCTTCAGAACTAAATGGTTTGGAATTACAAAGGCACTTTGATTTCCTTATATCCATATTCCTAAAGAAAAGGTATTGCAATAGTAAGGAAATAAACTCTTTAATTCTTCTCTTGTGATTTTTTTAAAAAATACTGATGCTCTGATCTTAAAGAACCTGCACTTAAGTCTGGAGCTCACTCGCAGCATAGCAATATCTTCATTATGAGTTGTCCTGACTCTAAATGAACTGCTACAATTGAAAACTGATCTGTCACAAAAACATTTTTTTAAATCTACCGTCCCTCACTCTCTAGTGAAAGTCAAGTTGCAAGAAGTTCTTAAAAGTTCAGCTCTGAATAATTACAACTTAAACTTACATACTGTCCTTCATGAAGAAGGATCCCAAAGATGTTTCCAAACTGATTTATAAAAAATGGACCAAATCCTCAATGTGTGAATTTAGAAGGTGCTCACTGATTTTTTTGTTGTTGTTAATTGAAAGTCAGATGCACATGTCCAAAAACAGACTTCAGTTTTATATTGTATAGTTTTCAGCCACCACTGAAATTCAGCCACCTGTTTAATAGTGCACAACAACACTGCAACAATTATGTATATAATATATTGCCATATTTAAAACTTCTCACAGCTTGACAATGAATATCATAACTGTTCAGGACAGGAAAGAAGAACAGACTATTCCGAGGGGGAAACTTAAGGGAGGCAGAATATAATTATCCACTTTAAGAGTTGGTCGTTTGGGTAATTCACATATGTGAATGACTTTTTTTTGTGAAGGCTGATTGCAAGACCTTTATTTCAGCCTGGGAGGTTCACAGTAGCTCAACTAGTAGTTGCTAGAGGGTCCTGAAACCTGCAGTATATTTTTATGTATTCACTTTTTTAAAATATAGTCAGAAAATTATTAATTACAAAGTAATAGCACAGAGTGACACTCCCGCTGGGGCTGGCTGACCCAGGGATAGAATAGGGATTGCCCAGGCAAATGACCAGCTGCATATTTGCACATGGGGTGCCTGTAAGCCCTTTGAACACAAAGAGAAGATTCTCTGTACCAGTTCTGCCTAGGCAGGTGTGGGAGGTCACCTTAGGGCAGGCTGGGGGCATAGCTGCACCAAGCACCCCATGCAACTGGTGCAGAGGGGCAGCAGCTCATAGAATGGAGTAGTAACTGTGAGAGCTGTGCACTCTTGCGTTGGAGGCTGTGTTTCTACCTCACAATTCACTTGGAGCCTAAATGCTTGTGCTTTGTGTGGGTGGAGTGAATGCATAATTTGTTGGAACCAAATCTTTATTTTAATAGTAAAAATACTATTTTATGGGTGAAATTATACTCTCTAGGCTGCACAGCTATAAAGATGCACTTCCTTTTCACTCAGTCCACTGACTTAATGTGCCATAGGTCAGTATATGTGTGCTGTATTAAAAATAGCATGTTACTGAGTATTCATTTCAAATAAAGAACATTTACAAAGTACTAAATGATCAAAGCAATCTAAATACAGTTAAGAACTAAAATGTTTCCCAAATGTAGCTTTAATCATTGTAGGTTGCAGTCAATATTAACAGAGCTATACAATTCTACCTTCCCTGTGTTTATAAATATATATGTATATAATTTTCCCATCATCATCATACCTTGTTGCTCCAAAAACATGGCCACGATTTGGTGCTATCACTTAGCTCGTATAGTTCTTCAGGAGTACAGGATGTTGACAGGGGGCACTGCATCAGGCACCGTTCAAAGATTTGGCTAGGCTTTCCACATTCACATTTGGGTCCTTCCTCAGGTCCTGCTTAGTTGTGTTGTCACCAGTCTTTTCTACCCTGACTTTTGCTTGATTTAGAGTACACGTTGTTTTTGTTTGAGGTCAGTGCCTGGAGGGAGTTGTTCTGAAGCAACCTGGTTATCCGTGATATGTGAACTTCTGATAGCACTATCTGGGGAATCACATTTTTTAATTGAAGAAGAGTGCTTTGCAAATACAGTGCCTAAAAATTCTCATGTGCTATATACATAGAACAGCTGAGTTAAGCAAAGTCTGACAAACCATGTCTTCGTACATTGTTGAATCACATAAAGTTGATAGTGACGTTAACCTATATAAAAAATTAGTGGCCAGGCTGCCCAATAGTGGAATAAAGCATTTGGAAATGATACACGGTAAACTGAAGGGGAAACCAGTGAAGAGTTATATTAATCCATTGCTGAGGCAGAGCAATATCTGCGTCAAAGATACAGCTTTTAAGCATCCTGTGACGATTGATTTCTAATGCCACATACATGGCTCTCTTGAACATAGATCTGTATGTTTAGATGATTAGCTGTAATAAAAAGAGATCAGGGATTACAGAGGTAAAAATAGAGACTACTATGCTGCTTAAGAAGAAAATCCCCAAGGACTTGTGTCTGTGGCTCACTCAAGCTTGTTTTAATACATAATGCACCACTCAGCTGTTTAGAGTTCTGCTAGAGAAAGGGTGCTGAACTGGGTCTCAGGAGAAAGTAAACACCAGTTTTTTCCACATTCCCTCTTTTTAGGGACTGTTATGTTGGCTGGACCTCTACCTTTGTCCTAAGACTGGGGTCTCTCTGGCATAGAGCTCTTCTTTATATGGGCAATTTGGAAAATCACCCTCCTTTTAAAAATAAAATAAAAATTCTGGATGCCAAGAAAGAAAGACAAAATTAATGTCCTGAAAAAAATCTAACTAATCCTAATGTTTAATGACCATCTTAGGTACTGCTGCTGAAGATGTTTAAACAGTCAGATGTGCTTGTTCTGATGGCTGAAATCCACATTTTTACCATCAGGTCTTCTTTCTTGTCACATCAAGCACTCTTTTTATTTTTTGCTACTAGCATTCAGTAGCTGCTAAAGATTGCAGTTCAAAAAACATCACTGAGGTCTTGATCTAGGAAGTACTGACATCAGTGGGAGATGTGCATGTTTAACACGTGGCAAGATCAGGCTTGGAATGAAGGGTTTGGGGTCAAATTCTCTTCTGTTGCACCCATAAAAACTCTGTTGAAGTCAGTGGGAGTTGCACGGGATTAAATGAGAGGAGAATTTGGCTTGTGCCCCTTGTCTCCGTATCTATCTCTGAATATACGCTACATTGATATATATTTCTGTGGTCAGAGCTTGTCTACACTAATAATAATAATAATTAATAATATATGGAGATATACCTATCTCATAGAGCTGGAAGGTACCCCGAAAGGTCATCAAGTCCAGCCCCCTGCTTTCACTAGCAGGACCAAGTACTGATTTTGCCCCAGATCCCTAAGTGGCCCCCTCAAGGATTGAACTCACAACCCTGGGGTTAGTAGGCCAATGCTCAAACCACTGAGCAGCTACATCCAAATACTTCAGTACAAAAAAGATTTATAATGTAGGTGAGTTCTTAGTGTCCAAGCAGGCTAATAATTGATGTGTGGAATTTTTAAAAGCACTCTGCTTTGTCTTAGTTTTGTTTCTACTGACTTCAAGGGGAGTGCGAGCATTTTTATAAAATTCCACACTAACAGGCAGCTTTTGTACAGGAACAGTAATTATGTGTTAAAGCTATAATGCATAAGAAGTATCTTTTCCCCACAGAATTCTGTGTATTGCTGCAAATGCCAATAGAGATGCATTGTCATATATAGGATAGATAAAACTAGCTATGGAGTTGGAACAACAAACAGAAGGTACTGTGTGACTTTTGATACAATGTTTACACTACTTGTCTGTCTTAAATGCTTGTGATACAATTGACAGTAAAAGTACAATTTAGTTTATCTTTGTCTATTGCTTCTGACTTTGTATAAGGCAACTCACTTTCACGATTACAATATTTTATCTGCAGTACTAACACTGCAGGGTGGTTTAGGTTTACTGTTGATGAACAGCCTTTCAGTGATGCATTTTATAAACTTTATGGCTTTTGAAACTGCATCTGATGCCCAGTGGAGACTGAAAAGAGACCTTGTCTGCATCAATAAATTGAATAGCTGAGCTCCTCAGAGTCATTGTTTAAAATAAGATGTTTTGGAGTCTTGATTATTTGCTGTAATGCCCATGTTGCATAGATCATAGTAAAAATAAAGGGAATGCATATTTTGAAAGTATGTGATAAACATAGGATTTTTAGTTAGTTACATCTAACATGGAGATGTTCTAGAAATACAGTATAACATTGCTAGATAGTTGAGTTTACTTACAATCAGTGTATAATACAAATATGGATTGTCTCCAAAGGCCATAGCAGTAAAATAATGCCCATGAATAGAAATAGTTCAGTTTTGTGGTGTATTGCCTGAAGATTTAAGCCAATATGCACAATGAAAGGAGCTATTTTATTAAAAGGATTTTTTTAAACCTGCTGTTGCCCTGGCAGTCAATCAAGGTGTGTCATTTCGGGGAAGGTTGGGAGGTTGCCTCCTGTAGGACTCACCTTGTCTTATGAGTAGTGGGGGGAGTCTGGTAGAATCAGTCTTATTTAAAGCTGCAGGGGGTGGAGGAAAGAATCAAGAATTGAGCACCCCCCCCCCCAAAAAAAGCTGCCCTTCCCTATTCCCTAATTACTGGATCTACCATTGGAAACTTAGTCCACGTTGAAATGAGGGAGGGAAGGCTTCAGGCCCACTGTCCCTCACCAGGAGCAGTTCTTTTGGGGGATTAAGGGGAGCTGGGAGGTGAATAATAGACTACTGTGGTCTCCTCTCCAACATTCAACCCACTTGCTATTTTGGCTTCCACTCTCCAGCAAGAGAACTTCTCTTACCCTAGAAGGAGCCCTTGGGTTGGGTCACCTCCACTCCAGATGGCAGGGGGACTGATGGAATTGGTCAGAGGTCAGACAAGTACCCTATTAGTATCCTTTGTCAGTGATAGTGGATTTGTACATAATTCTACATTTGTAAGTTCAACTTTCGTGATAAAGAGATTGCACAACAGTACTTGTGTTAGGTGAATTGAAAAATACTGTTTCTTTTGTTTCCTACAGTGCAAATATTTGTAATCAAACATAAATATAAAGTGAGCACTGTACACTTCGTATTCTGTGTTGAAATTGAAATCAATATATTTGAAAATGTAGAAAACATCCAAAATATTTAAATGGATGGTATTTTATTATTTAACAATGCGATTAATTGCGATTAATTTTTTAATCGCGCAATTAATTGTGAATAATTTTTTTTATTGCTTGACAGCCCTAATATTTGGAGAAAGCATCATATTAAGCACTGTTCAGTGTCATGTTCATGTTTTTTATTTCCATTTATAGTGCAAACATTTAAGAATAGATTATAACAGCATAAAACATGATTAACAGTGAAATTCATCTTACATAAAAGGTTATATCTTGATGAAATACCATGTGACTGCCAGCATTGTTCTATCCTCTTTACAGTGATTGCAGCAGTGCACCTACATCCTATGAGAACAGGATTTAATAGACCATTATAGAAGATCAGTCAGAAAGTTAGGGCATTTTTAGTCCATGCTTGCCAGAGGCACCCTTAAAAATAAAAACAACCCACAAATTTCTCAAACCCATGATTGAGCTGTGGATAGCCTAATTAAAGTACAGGAGACAGTAGAATTTTTTTCAAAATATCAATATCTGAAGGCTGGTTTTGTGTTGGTTTTTTTGTTTTTTTACTTTGACGCCACAGCCCCTTTTTCTCCAGGCAGAGTCAGAGGAATACCTTCAGGCAGTCAGATACTTAATGTGCATCCTCGTAATCTGCAATCTCACGCATTACAACACATTGTATTAACAGGACATCTGGACATAAAGAAACAAGGCTCCAGTGAGCCAAAGGTACATGTTCAGAGTAACAACACAGGACTGGACAAACGTCCTATAATTTAGTAACAGCCTCTAGTATATGTTGTTAAGTGACTACTAATGGAAGGGAATCAAGCTGTACTTTAAGCATAAGAGACTTCATATAGGGGCATATGTAACATTCTAATTAACCGTAATACTTCATACAATTTTAAATAGTAGTAATGTGAAGATGGTATAGTGAAGGTTCCCATGTAACTGCTCTGCATATATAATAGTTCACTAAATGGGAGTCCTATCTGTTCACGAAGTGAGACTTTGCTTTGAGACTTGCAAATGAAAGGCAGTGTAGACCCAAGTATTTTACCTCCCCTCCCTCCCCAGAAAAGAAAAGGTGGCTGGCCTAAAGGGAAGAAAAGGAAACCTCCAAAGGAATTTTCAGCTCCTCGTGCCCCTACAACAGGGTAGGTGTGTTATAGTAGCATTATGTTATTCAGATAATTTACTGTTCTCTTAATATGCTCTCTTGTATGCAGTATATTAAAGCAACTTGGGGCTCTGAACTGTAGAGATTTAGAGAATGCTAAAGGCTTTGGGAATGGCCTCTGAAGTCAATAAAATATTTATAGCTTGGAAATGTTAGAAATCCTCAAACTGCATTTTGATGGACACCTTTTATTACTCCCACCAATAGAAAAGTGCAGGGATACAGTGAAATGGCTAAAGGGAATGTATTGTAGGTTGAGCAGTCATGTGTC